TGGAGGGTCTTTGGGGTTGGAGGCTCTTTGGGGTTAGGAAGCTCTTTGGGGTTTGGAGGCCATTTGGGATTTGGAGGCCATTTGGGATTTGGAGGCCATTTGAGGTTGGAGGCTTCCTGGGGTTAGGAGGCTGCTTGGAGTTTGAGGCCATTTGGGGTTAGGAGGCTCTTTGGGGTTGGAGGCAGTTTGGGGTTGGAGGCAGTTTGGGGTCTGGAGGTTTTTGGAGGCTCTTCGGGGTTAGGAAGCTGTTTGGGGTTGGAGGCTCTTTGGGGTTGGAGGCAGTTTGGGATTTGGAGTGGGTTTTGGGGTTTGAGGCCATTTGAGGTTGGAGGCTCTTTGGTGTTAGGAGGGTGTTTTGGGGTTGGGAGACTGGGGTTAGGAGGCTGTTTGGGGTTAGGAGGATGCTTGGGATTTGGAGGTTTTTGCAGGCTCTTTGTGGTTAGGAAGCTCTTTGGGATTGAAGGCTGTTTGGGGTTGGAGGTTCCTTGGGTTTGGAGGCTATTTGGGGTTTGGAGACCATTTGGAGTTTGAGGCCATTTGGGAATTGGAAGCTCTTTGGGGTTGGAGGCTCTTTGGGTTTTGGAGTGGGGTTTGGAGGTTGTTTGGAGGCTCTTTGGGGTTAGAGGCTCTTTGGGGTTAGGCCATTTGGGATTTGGAGGCCATTTGGGGTTGGAGGCTCTTTGGGGTTAGAAGCTCTTTGGGGTTGGAGGCTCTTTGGGTTAGAAGCTCTTTGGGGTTGGAGGCTCTTTGGGTTTTGGAATGGGGTTTGGAGGTTGTTTGGAGGCTCTTTGGGGTTAGAGGCTCTTCGGGGTTAGGCCATTTGGGATTTGGAGGCCATTTGGGATTTGGAGGCTCTTTGGGGTTGGAGGCTCTTTGGGGTTAGAAGCTCTTTGGGGTTGGAGGCCGTTTGGGGTCAGAGGCTCTGCAGCTCTCCCTGTCCCAGCCGCATCCCCAGCAAAGCTTCTCACGGATTGCTGCAGGCCGGGCTCTGCCCCGGCAAAGCTGCCCCGCCTTGGACGCTGCTAATTACTCAGGGCTGCTAATGAAGGGAGCTCAGCCCGGCTTATTGCCCGTCACTCATTGCCAGCCCGCAATACCTGCGGGATGCATCAGGGGCTGCACCAGGGGATGCAGCAGGGGCTGCACCAGGGGGTGCACCAGGGGCTGCACCAGGGGATGCATCAGAGGATGCATCAGGGCTGCACGCGCCCTTCCCCCAGGGCAGCGAGCTCGCCTGCCTCTCCAGTGCCCCATCCAGTGCCTCTTGCCCACTTTCAATAGAATTTTGCCCCAAAATTTTTGGTTTTGACAGCGCCGGGCTGCCGGGGTGTGAAGCGAAATGCTGCAGTGGGATGAGAGGTGAGATCTCGATTTCATCACGATTTTGGTCTCTGTGGAAGCTTCCAGCACTTCCTGATTGTCTCTGCCACCAGAAACGTTCCCAGGCTTCACCCAGCTCCAAAGCAATGCCAAGGTGGTGCTGGATTCCGGCTCCTCGCTGGAGCCTGCAGGGAAGGCTCTGGGAACTCTGGATTTGCTGATTCAGCTGCTTAAAAGGGGATGTTGAGGCATCCCTGGAACAGGGTTACAACACCTGGGCTGGAATTTGCAAGTCAGCTTTGAGCTGCAGTTCAAATATTCGTCTCTGCCCTTAAATCTCCTCTTCAAGCTGGGTCTTATTTCATCCTTATTTTGGAGGCTGAGGTGCTGCTGAGGCACCACATCTCTGGTGGGTTCAAATGCTGAGAGAATTCCAAGAGATGGGAACTTTAATTCTTGAAGAAATAAGGGGGGAAAAAAAGAATCAAAGTATTTGGGACTGAAAAGAGCACATGGCTCTGACTTTCTTGATGAAAATGGAATTTTCATTTCAAATGGAATCTTGATGAAAAATTTTCTTGAGGAAAATGGTGATCTCTGAAGGTCAGGGTTTCTAGGGATGAATTTAATGCAGGAAAAGGAAATGGGTTTGGTTCTGCCTTTTTCCAAACCTGCAATAACTCACCTGGGGTAGAGCTGGACAGGGATGGGGCTGGAATGGGATGAGGTTTAACGTCCCTTCCAACCCGAAGCATTCCTGTTGCTGCAGCGTGGGAGGGAGATCACTCTCCCTCTGCATTGGGATGCTGAGCAAAGGGAGCTGCTCCTTCCAGGCAGGAATTTTCCCCACATTTGTTCCCAGGAACAGCCCGGAGTCAGCCAGAGCCTGGGCAGGGCTTTGCTAAACCACAGCCCAAGGCTGAGCAGGGCCGGGGGAATTTCGGGAATGGGGTTTCCTCTGTCTGAAAGGTGAGCAGTGATTCACAGCCGTGCATAAAAAAGGGAAATATGATTGAATTCCTCCTCCAAGCTGAGCCTGGAGCAGCTGGGGAGGCTCCTGCCCTGGAGCTGCCCGCCCTCTTCATTCCCACCCTGCTCCTGTCCACCCCTTCTCCAACAGAAAACGATTTTAGGGCTGAAATCAAGGTGATAAACCCAGAAACGAGGGGGAATCTGCGCTGACACCCCCGCCCTGCCTCCATCCCATTCCACATCCCATTCCCTCCGGCAGCACTGCCTGCCCGTCCATCCCCTCCACCGGGAAAACGAAATTCCTGCGGTGCTCCAGGATTCCCGGGTTCCCATTCCCATCCCCCCGGCCTTTTGTGGGATTTATAGAGCCGAGTGGGCTGGGAACAAGGCGCAGACAGCGCGGGGATGTGCTGTGCATACTAATGCCAGGATGCTGCCCCTGCCCTGGGGCACTGCCGGGTCAGCCCGGGGCTGCAGCGCTGCCCGCCAGCCTGGGCAGAGCCCTGGGGATGTGCCCCGCAGGAAATCTGGGGTGTTTGCTGGAAATAAGATGCCACTCCCCTCCCCAGTTCTGCTTCTCGCTCCTGAGGAGAGGAAAAAAGAGAAAATCCCTCCTTTGCCACGGCTGGTTTGTGAGCGAAGTGAGGAAGGGGGAGTGGAGAGAGGGAGGAGAGGTGGCAGAAGCCTTGTGGGCAGCAGCTGGGAGGATTCGAGCCTGAAGGGTCTGAGCCTCCTTGGCAGAAGGGCAGAGCACAGGAAAAGTTTTCACCGGAGCTCTGGGAGGGCTGAGCCCGTTCCTGGCTCTGCCACCAATCCCTCTGGCCTGGCACAGCCAAATCCCTTTGCCTGCAGCACTCCGAGACCCATTTTGGTACATTTTTGATCCCCTTTGTGGAAATTTTTGTTGTTATTTGGCTGGGCTGTGGGAGGTATCTCTGGCTTGGGCGAGGTGCAGAGGTGGGTGGTGATTTATGCCCACGGCAGAGGTTCCAAAACATCCCGTTTTTATGGCATCCCCTCTGGCCTGCAGCCCGTTTCCTCCTCATGTTACATCTTGTCTGCTGCCTTTGGGAGAGCTCTGGGGGCAGGGATTGTCCTGGGCTGCTTTCTGCCTTGGCCCGGCGCTCAGAGCAGAGAAACGCACAAAGAGTTTGGGGCAGGAGCAGAGCAGGATGAGTCCCTGCGCATTTCCCAATTTCCTTGGAGATCCCCAGCCTGGCTGGTGCCCTGGGATCCAAATGGAGCATTCCCTCACTGGGACTGGATGTGATGAGCTCTTTGTGAGGATAAAGTGTTAATGAACTCATCACTGATGGCCT